GGTCAAACATTCATCAAAGAAAGTCCACGAGGAACATGTGAAAAACCAAATGTAACCCAGGCTAAAAAACACAGAAGAGCTAAACAGTACAGACTAAGAGTGAGTAAAAAGTGGCTGATGTTAGATGGAAGGGATGATTACTAAGCTCAGTTGTTATCTAACGTAACAATTGAGGAAATAGCAAACAGCCTTAACTTATAATCCCGACATTTTGACAACAAGAGCTACTTCTGGTTCATAATAAGAACGTGACTTTGTGATTGTTATGAACTGTAAGTTAATGAAATCCAACTTCACGACAGAAATCTGAATTGTTCATTTCATCTGCACGTGAACGGCTGTTTGTTAACGGCGTGTTTACAGTCAGATCACTTCAATCTTGAGCTTTCTGTAGTTGGTTGATAGAATCTAAAAAAAATAAAATCATTGTGTTGCACATTGATGCGTAACTCAGAAATTAAGGAAAACTGTCACCATTGCAGATATAATAGATATTAAAGATCTGGACAATGATAAAAAATAATGATTCATGTTATTTTTTTAGAGAAACGCTCAGAAACAAGTAAAATACACAGTGTACATAATTTAAAGCAGTTGGAAACTGCGAGCCAGAAAAAAAAGTTTCTCGTTACTTTACATTATATTGTATCTGTTTGCTTTCACTTTTATTTGTTGGTCTAAACTTCTAAGCAGTGTTTTTGTGTTTGTTATTGAACCGTCTGGTTTTGTAAAAAGATGTCTCTTTTGTTAAACTGGTCATCATCTTCAGAGTTTATCACCCATAATCACAAGATTATCTCGACTTCCACACACGTGTCATTTAACATCATTTGCATCTTGATTATTGTGACTGAAAGCTTTGACGTGGTTACTGGATGAGTCAGCACCTGACGGGTAACAAAGAACCAAATGACATTCAGGATGAGGGTGTAGATCAGTAACAGATGATTTTTTAAATAACCTCTGAACGCAGAATGACCTTACAAAAACTCTGTTTTAGACAAAACTGAAAATAATGGACGGCACAACTTTTACATTTAAGAAACATCCACAGAAAAGAGACTTAAATGAAGAGATTTACCACTTAAACGGTGTCATTTAATTTATGTTCATCATCACAAATATGCATCACATTCTCACAAAATAAAAGCACAACTAACAGTATATATTTTTTCTTTTTCACAAATCTGCAAAATTTAAAAATAACTACACACAAAGAATACTACATATTTCCTTTTACACGATTCTGTACATGTTTTGTTTTAATTTATGTGCAGGAAATAACACAATCAGACGGATCAGTTTCTTTTCTCTGATATTATAAAAGCACTTATATGCGGTCTTTTATCACAAGAAAACAATTTATGTTATTTATCTATCTCCTGGTTAGCTTATTCAAAGATTATATGGTAATTGTATATTCTCATATTGTCTGTATCATTGTTTGATATATGCTCAACCCACTTTTTGTATTACAGTATTTTTTGTCAAATCCAAATTACGGAACAAGTGCAAAGAGACATCCCAACAGAGGATAAAGTAAGATGGATCGTAGGGCTTCCGCTGCAGATGTGGAGTAGATTTTTCTGTTGTTCACACTTTGTATGGGTCGATAAATGTCTTGAAATGTTGTGTATTTTGGGAACATCATCATCTGTTAGAATTAAAGAAAAATAAAGTTTAGAACATGCAGCTGTACACTGTAAACGTAGGCTTTCTTTTGCAACATAATGATGACAGGTATACTGTGTCATGAGTGTATTGGCAGTTAGATTGTGTTTGGCTGCAAAGTTCTCAGTCACATTTTCTTTTGTTGTCAACGTGCTGATAACAAGCACTGATTGGAGCTGATATTACCGCATTTCAACCAACGAATGACGACTGTGATGGAAACGCTTGGCAGAAAAATCCATGTGACTGAAGTTCAAAGACAATATTTAAAGTTTAATTTAATTTTATTTTTTTAGCTGCATTTGTTTGTAAAACTCTTATGGTTTTATTTACCTCCATATGTCCAAGAAATTTTCCTCAGACTACATGAGAGGTTTTTAAGTTAAATATCTTAAATTTGATTTATATAGACTGAGCGATCTGAAGTTTAGTTAAACTTGAGAGGTTTAAGGATGTTTTGTCTGCTGAACGACTCATGTCACACCAGCATCATTCATAATTAAATATGCTTGTTTAAATCTTTTTGCATTGAAGTATGTTGCCATTAGTAACTTATAAATATTTGATTGAATCCACCCTTTAATTGGACAACTCGTTATCTCTTTGTTGTTAAAACGGCACACATGACGCTGACACCACCATGCTTTACTGTAAGGCTCACTAAGCAGTTGGCATGCAGCACGTGGTGAACACTGATTGGACTTCTGATTAAATATTTAACTTAACAGATCAGAGACGTTTCCTTGTGCTTTCACATTATTTAAACCCTTTTATCAGACGCTAGGCATCATAAGTTTTTTAATTTGAGGGTTTTTTTTCTGTCGTTCCTTTACATGTCACTAGATATTGTAAAATATGTTATTGTGAGCCTTTGGTCCTTTGCTCAAAGAGGTCTGGTTGTTATATAACTCACATATTTATCAGTTTTTCGCTTTCCTTGAACAACTGTTCTTTTAAAATCTTTATGCTTTGCTTTGACATATTCCTCATCACACATTTACCAATGAAGTCTATAGAGTTGCTTCAGTCCCTAAACACCTAAATACCTCACTAAGTTAAAATTAAATAATGATTTTATGTTTTTATTGGCCTTAATATTGAAAAGGCTCAAGAGTTATAGGCTGCAGAGCAAACACTGACATTTAAAACTCATTTTAAACACAATAAATTGTTAAAAAAAACGAAGAGATTTGAACTTTTTGAATTGCTTGTATATAGTTGATTCCTTTTTGTTTACCTTACATATAAATATTACCGTGCTTCCATTTGATGTCAGTATAAACACTGTAACAACACCAAGAGGATTAAGACAGATAGTCTTAATCGGATATCTCACACCAGTGATGTGCAACCATGTGTGTTCAAAACAAATGCCAAAGTGTTGCATCAAAGATAATTGTTTTTTGCTTCACCTGCATAAAAATGGTTCTGTATTGTAAAGAAAATAAATTCTGAACTAGACATGACTGTGAACAAGCTATTTAATGTGATCTCACCCTAAAAAATGAACCTGTACTAGTTTATTTTATTTGTTTATTTGATTTTATTTTTATCTTTGGTGAGGATGATGACTGAAACATACCAGGTTGTGATCCAGCTTAACTGTATCTTTAAAGACCGTCCAAACCACAGCTTCGTTGCATGACGGGGTAGTGAGGGAACCGCTGTAGCGATAATACGAATCACGGTTGACGCTGCCAAGCAAGTCATCAATAGAGATCACATCTGTGACTTTAACCTGTGAGCCTACGTAAGAGCAAAAAAAAAATGAAAAGAATGTTCTGGTATATTGTATGGCATTCGACCAAACAGGTGTGTACTCACTAATGTTTTGGATAGCTGAGAAGTAACTGGTTAGTTTTGTCCAGGGTCTCATGTCAGACGATGAAACCCCTGAGCTGGAGGTGATTCTCTTACTACTTTGTGAATCCTGCAAATGAACATTTAAGAAATGAGTTTACCAAACTGACTCAAGCTGACTGCAGTTTCACTTTATACAGTATAAAATACAGCTCACAGCAAAACCTGACTCCTCTCCATCTGACTCCACACGTGGCCATAAAACTGATCAGGTCACAGATAACTTGAAGAATGTGCACTGCAGTGTTACCTAACTCTCTGGATTTTTTAAATAACGTTGCACATAAAGTCATATCTCTACAGCTGATTGTTTCCAGTTTGTTGAATTTTGTCCTAATTGAGATTAAATCCTGATAAGTTGGAGAACGATGACGTCAACCTGTTTGGTGACGCATTTCAGTCAGTCTGACCTTATCTAAGCTTATTTCTTCATCTTTCTTATGCAGTATACTAAAACAAAATTGTTTGTCTTTGCTTTCATTTTTTGAGAGGTTAATGCTCTAGATGTTACCTCAATAAAAAATCCAAGCACCGCCAGGCCATCAGAAGTCTGTAGCGCCTCTTTCAAAGTTAAATCCTTCCTCTTGCTGACTATGTGCAGCTAGACATGAACAGGATATTTATGTTTGGTGGAACTTAGTGAAAAGCACAACATTTTAAATGCATCTGAGCAGTAAGTACCTCCATTGGGTATCTGTGTGAATCCACCGTGTGCTCCGAACCCTCAGAGTTAGCTGCTTTGGTGCCCCAGTGGAAGTGGAGCTGAAGGGTGGAGTATGCGTGCTTCAACCCGCCTCCGGACACCTCCACCATGTTGTCTTTCAGTACACACTCCACTGCAAGACACAGAAAAACACAATAAGCTCTTTTTAGTTTGTTTGTTTTAGTGTTGTTGTCAAAATCCTTCTGACAATAACTGCAGATCACCTTTGATTTAAACGTTAACACCAACCTGTGTGGCCTGTGTTGGTGATGTAGTTGATGGCGCCCTTGTCAAAATTTTTAAAAGTGAAGGAGCCAAGAGTGTTATCCATCACAACGCTATGAGTGTCAATGTTGATGGGGGACTGACTTTGGCCRCCACAGTAGGAATCAGGCATTTCGCTCCATTGGGGCGGACTGTAATCTGTAGTCAGAAATGTGAAAATGTCCACTGTCACAGTAAAACTTAAAGGCTCACAGCTTTAAATGCGAAGAAGTTATTGCCTACTTACAGCAGTGACTATCATAGCACCAGTGATGTTCTGAAACTGAGACAAACATCATATGCAGTGAGTCAACCCCTTACATAAAACTTGTCTAAAACAGGCCTGCCTTGAAAATGAGTGCCATGTCATTGACTCCAGCTCACCAGGAGGTAGAGGAGTTGCAGGAGAGGCAGTGACCTTGCGTCCGTAAAGTGGTTGCGCAGGTCGGAAGTTGTTCACGAGGTCTGTGTTCTCAGAAAAACGATTAATCTGAGAAGAGAACAAAACATGCTTCCTTCATTACATCAACCAAAAGCTTTGATTACATCTCGTCTTTGGTTAATAAACACACTCACACCAGTGAGAATGAAGTAATTCAAACTCCACAGCAGCGTTAAAGATACATACTTCTGCAGARAACTAAGGTGATCCGAGAAAACAAGTAATGCTCTTCAAATGAGATAAATAATCCTGGGAAACTTTATGCCATGCTGAGAACAAAGACAGATTTTATGGTAATGGGAAAAGTTTCTGATGGGTTCATGTGTACATTTGTTCTCCAAGAGTCTAACACTTAGACTATCATTGAATTTACCACACAAACACTCTTAAACCACAGCTTTCCTGTCTGGCAGGTTAAAGATAAAGAAAGGTATCACTCTTCAACAATTAGATGTGTCCATTTTCCTTTTTGAAGTTGCAAATGACTCGCCTGATGGATTTGCGTGTTGATACAGACAACAGAAAGTAAATCAAGTCTGACACAAATATCAAAGCAAACACCAGCGGGTACCTGTATTATTTTGTTTTGGTTTTTTTGTTTGTGCCTGCCAGTGCATTGCTGTTCTGCAATATTTGATGTTTACCTGAATGTATCAGTGGCCAAAGCAGACTGTGCTTGCCACAGCTCATTAACTGCTTCACATGCTTGGAACGACAAAATGAAATTGATACAGGTGTTGATGACTGACTGCAGCTTCACGCCAACAAGTTTTGTCACTAATCTTGAACAGGGTGACTAAATTCGAAAATATTTTGTATGTGTTCACTACGAGTTAAGATGTGAGGTGACCCTCATGTGTTGCGTGTTGGCTCAACATGGCCTTTGTTTWGCTGAAAAACGCTCACCAGGTTGTGGGGGACTTGGATCGGCTCATGAAAGATGGTCCACACGACAGCTTCGTCACAGTCAGGGGTGGTCAGGGAGCCGTGGTATCGATAGAACTGTTTCCGGTTTACGTCTCCAAGCAAATCATCGATAGAGAAGTTAAAGCTYACTTCAACATCGACGCTACTCCCTGAGAAAGAATTTAAAATAAATCAAATGACAATGACCAATATAGCACTAATTCTAATTGTCTGAAAACAGATTTGTTGGACAAGGCAGAAATGTTTATATTAACAAACGGGTAAGTAAAAGAACTAATGTGTCAACATCCAAATCTCATTTGTTGATCAGTTTCCTGCAGTTTGAAAACCAGCTTATGACCTGCTCATAAAATCAATATGCACAATAYAAAATGGAAATTTTCCTAGAAGCTGCAGGGAGGTGGTCATAACATTTTGTGAACAAATGTTAATTATTTAACCGTGTTATTTTTTTTAAATGCTGCCACAGAACATCTCCTGCAGCCCGAACTGAGACGTGCTATCCGACCATGAGCAAAGTGTTGCAAGTTTTAAAAGCCRTAAATCTGTTATGGGTTGGGAGGAGATGTGAAAAAAAAGCTTGATAATTGACCTCTCATCCACAAAACTTTCCAATCCAACTTTCCTACCGGGCAGGCTTTACCTGTGATGTTTGTCGAGGTGAGCGTGTGCCACGCTCCTGACAAATCTCCATTATCTGTTCCCTTTAGAGGAAAAAAAAAACATGAAAACATTTTTTTTATTTCTTGCATTAAATAAAGGCTTTTCTGAAGCCCCTTTGAACAGACATTCAATGCAATGTTCAATAAGCAGTCTTACTGTTGTCAGTTAAACTTGTCAATTAAGAAATAAACATTTAGATGAAAACTGAAGACGTACATTTATGAAAAACCCAAGAACAGCAAACCCATCAGACTGATTTTTGGCCTCCTCTGTAGTGACACCTTTCTTTATAGTGAGGATGTGCATCTGAGAAAGATTACAAATTTAAAGAAAAAACAGATTTGAGTGACATTTTATAAAAAACATAATCAAATGATATCAACGTTAAATACCTCTGCTGGATATCTGTTGTCATCAATGGTGTGCTCTGACCCTGGATGAGGTTCTTTATCACCCCAGTGAAAGTGAAACTGAGTTGCAGAATATGTTCCATTTAGACCCCCTCCGCTCACTTCAACTTCATTATCCATCAGTGTGCATTGCACTATATGAAGCAAGCAAGAAAAGCCAATATAAATGTGTTTTTGTAAAAAAAAAAAAAAGACTTGAAGCTCTTTTTGGACTTGTATGGACTGTGTACCTGAATGTCCATTAAATCCGACCAACTTGATGGTGTGCTGGGAGGAGAAGTTGACGAAGATGAAATCGTTGAGTGCCAGGTCAGCTGTAACATTACTGGTGACAATATTAACTGGAGACTGGCGCTGTCCTCCACAGCTGGATCCTGGCATCTCTTCCCAATGGGATGGGGTTTCAGCTGTGAAAGACAGAGAGGCTATCAGTGCAGAAAATCTCTGCTTAAAGAAGTTAATATTTCTCATCAGTATCTAATATTACTCCTCACTTACCACAGCCTGTGTAGCACCAGTTAGCTGGAAAAAAATAGTGCAAAAATAAACTTTTGTTGTTGTTGTTGTTTTACCTTAAATAAAATACTTCTGAAAGTGGAATTAATTTATATATGGGTGGTTCTTTTTTTTTTTCTTATACATATAGTGTATGTGCATTTAATTGTCTTCAATTCCAATCATGGCACAGAAAGATTCACAGTACTTAATGTTTCTGAAATTTTTTTTAAATAAAAACACATTTTGGAATGAAACATCACAGAGTGGAACTTACATAACGGTGGAAAATCAAAGTTTACAATTTTAAAATCTGAGGATTTTCACAAAAACATTTGACCCAGAGGTTCTCAAACAGGGGTCCCTGGACCCCCAGGTGTCCGCGAGAAGGATCTTGGGGATCCTCAAAAGTC